CTAGTTAGTTAACATATATGGTAAAATTGATTTCAGGTGTAGAAATTTAGTGATTCATCACTTACCTATAATACCCAGTGCTCATCACAAGTGCCTTCCTTAATCCACTTTGAATTTACTTTTGTGTACTGTGTAAGAAAAGGGTCCAATTTCATTCTTTTGCTTGTTGCTGTCCAGTTTTCCTAACACCATTTGTTGAAGACACTATCTTTTTCCCATTGGATATTCTTTTCTTCTTTGTCAAAGATTAATTGACCATACGGTTGTGTGTTCATTTCTGGGTTTTCTATTCTGTTCTATTGATCTATGTGTCCATTTTTGTGCCACTACCATACTGTCTTGATCACTACAGCTTTGTAATATAACTTGAAGTCTGTAATTGTGATGCCTCCAGAAACAGACCCATAAATACATAGCATAAACCACTGGTTGCCAGAGGTTAAAGGGGTGGAGGATGTGTGAAAATGGGTGAAGAGAAATGGAAGATATAGACTTCCAGTTATGGAATGAATAAGTCATGTGAATAAAAGGCACAGATAGCATAAGGAATATAAAAGTACTTTGAAATGTTAAATCTAATATCTTTGTGTATTTAAAGTTGAAGGGGGGAAGTTTATGCTTAGTAGACATAATATTTCTCAACCTGCAGAGCTTAGAGATCAGACTGAATCAAAAGCTGTTTCCAAACTGAAGATCTTGTGAGGGCTCTACAATAAAACAAGTCGAATTTCTATCAGTATAAATTCCCCCAAACTTCATTATGGCTGAAATTCCCTGCCTTCCCAAGATTTCTAAATCTATCTTTTGCCCTTTCCTTATAGACTGCTTACAACTCAGAAAGTTTTAATACCTTTACATATATTAAATAAGTAATTCTGTAGTAAAGGTGTGTAGTCATATATAGAGTAATCAAGGGGATCTTTGAAAACTTTGCTAGAAAAATAACAAAAGAGAGGCCAACAGTGAAAAAAAGATGTCTAGAAGAATTCTCAATCTGCAATAAATAGGGCAATACAATAGATTTTCTCAACAACAATAATATCCTGTAGAATGCTGTACCTTGGAGGAGCCAGTGTCTGCTCTAGAAACTCCTCAATTTTAATGAAGTCTGTTTTCAACTCCTTGTTATACACCAGGAAGGGAGGATTGGTGCCTGGGGCTAAGTCTTTCAGCTCTTCAGGCTTTCTATAATTATTGAAAATAAGTAGAGTTAAGCCTTTAGATATAGTACACATTATACAAACACAAACATTATATTGGTGTCTACCAATTTCACTCTCCAGAATGAAACATGTCCTGATTTCTCTTACCTGGTCATGTCAACAGTAGTTACATTGAATTTAACTCCTTTAAGCCAGAGGATCATAAAAAGGCGTTGGCAAAAGGGACAGTTTCCAATACTCTCCCCATCACTTCCAGCCTGTTAAGATAAAGGAAGGCCTCATTCATTCATTTGCTCAGTATGTATTGAGTGCCTACTGGGAAATGAACCAGTTGCTAGAGATAATCTTAATCTCATGGATTCTATTATCTGTGGGCAGACGGAGATAATGAATCAAATAAGTTTATTGTATTTAAAATGACAAGTCTGATTAGTACATAATAATAATAGTTTGTTTTATATATTACCAGAATATATATAATATAACCATTTCCTGTTGATGGGCATTTCAGATATTCCAAAATTTTTGCTATCCTAAATATTTCAGCAGCAAATATTTTGGGGCATATAATTTGTTCCACTGCTGAGATTATATCTTTAGAATTAATATTTAAAATGAGAATGTTGAAAAAAGACATTTTCCGTTTTAATAGATCCTGCCAAATTTCCTTCCTGAGAGACATTTTCCATATGTTTATTGCCCATTTGATTGCCTTATTTTGTGAAGTGTTTGTTCATGACAATCTTACATTTTTTTCTATTAAAGTGAGGACATTTTCCTTATTGATTTGAAAAATTTATTTACATACTGAAGATATTAACACTTTTTGATACACATTACATGTATTTTAAAACATGGCCTATGTGAAATTTAGATTTTACATAAAATCTATTACTTTTTTCCTCTGTGCAGTCTAGTTTTTCTGATCTGCTTACATGACTATTATATACATAAAGATTACAAAGAATATTCCACCTTTCTTATTTTGTTTTATTATAAAGATGTTCTCTTATGTTTTCTTTTAGTACCTTCATGGTTTCATTTCTGGCATTTGTTTCATCGATTTGGAATTTATTTTGGCAGAGTTATATTGGGACTTTAGCCTATGTATTCAATTTGTTTTTTTACAAATAGATAATAGTTAAAAAAATTTTTTTAACATTTATTTATTATTGAGAGACACAGAGCATGAGCAGGGGAGGGGTAGAGAGAGGGGAAGACACAGAATCCAAAGCAGGCTCCAGGCTCCGAGCTGTCAACACAGAGCCCGACGTGGGGCTCAAATTCACAAACTGTGAGATCATGACCTGAGCCAAAGACGGTCGCTTAACCAACTGAGTCACCCAGGCGCCCCAGTTAATAGTTGTTTTAACACCATCTATTTAAAGATCCATCTTTTGCCCAGCATTACCCTGATGCCAAAACCACACAAAGACACTATAGAAACAGAAAACTACAGGTCAATATCCCCGATAAACATAGATGCAAAAATCCTCAACAAAATGTTAGCAAATAGCATTTAACAATACATTAAAATTATACTTCACCAAGATCAGGTGGAATTTATTCCAAAGGTGCAAGGATGGTTTAAAATTCAAAAATCAATCAATGTGATACAGGATATTAACCAAAAAAAAAAAAAA